AGCAAGCCAATCACTAGCCGCCACGTGGGAATAATTTAGAACTGGCCAATAGTGGGACACAAATTTGCATGCGGGTGGCGGGAACTCCTTTGCACCGGGGTTTTCTCTTTGCAACTGAGAAATGCACCCTGCAAAGAAAGCTCCTCGTGGCGGGAAATAATTTAGCAGTGCCGAAGCGCGCACACACAAAATCACACCCTTGGGTTGTGACAACAGCAAGGCAGTGTAAAGCAGTGGGAGAGGGACAGAGTGGGCTAGATGCAGGAGCTGGAGGAGAAGTGGGGAGAGGGGGAGAGAGGGAGATACTCTGTGGGTCTGGGACTGGGAGGGTGTGGGTCACGGCAAGCTGATAGTTATGCTAATGGGTCCCAGTGTGAAAAAGGTTGAGAACTACTGCTGTATAGTGTGTCCTCCAGGCTTTACTTTAGATATTACAGCATAAGAAAGTCTTGCTTCAAGTACAGTATGTTATATCTTTGCTTCTACACTAGGGGGCAGTTAGAGGCCTGAATGTCAAGAGGCTGCTATTAGAATAGTAGCCCTGTTTTTAAAGCAGTCTGTTGAAATTCTCAGCACTTTTTCTGCAAGAAACTTATTCATGTCAATTCCTAAATGATACCTGTTATCACAGTCAAGGGCAACTCTTTTGGTGTTACTCCTTAAATCATGACTTTTCCCCTCCTTTTAGTTCATTTTAGTTGTTAAAATGGCATGCTTCATTTGGTGCTCTTTGCATTTGTTCCTGGGGCTTGATAATCATCCTGCAGAAACTAAGCACTTCCAAGCACGCAGAGCTCTTGACATCCAGGCAATGGACAGAAATTACACATAAACCAATATAATTGCTCAGAAATGGGCTCAAATCTGTAACATAGCAAAAGTTCAGTGCACTTAAACTGCTTTCAAAATGGCCAAAACTGGTTTAAGATAAACCAGGAAGGATCCAATATCAGACTTAACTGATTTAAATTAAATCGGTGTATTGAACTTCTCTCCCAGATCCCCTCCTGATTCAAGTTAACTCTCAGCCCCCAGCATCCCAAGATGCTTTGCACCTCCCCTGAACCCTCCCTCACAAGATAGCCTTTGCCCATGCTATCTGCTCCAGCCAAGCAAGGAGGCATGTTCTGGCCTGTGCCACTGGAGGCATGTGGCGTCTGGCCTGGCCTGTGCAGGCATGTGGCTGCATTTCCAGAATCAAAAGTCAATGTCTGTTCAACTGCTTGTTGGTTTAATCTATGCAGCTTAGACTAACCAGCAAAGATTGAATCGATTTAGCCTCAGGCCTTTTGACTGTCTGTACTTAGCCCCAGAGCTTTCTATTGTGTGATTACTCACCTAAAAAAGGTAGATCTTCTCAAGGACACTAGAGGGAAGTGAGAATATCTTGTCTCCTTATTTCTTTGTTCTGAATTTACAGACTATGACCTTTCAATTTTCTTCTGCTCTATGTATGTCTCAAAGACACATTAATCATGTATAGACAACCCAGACTCTAATCTTTCTGGCAGGGTAGTGAAATAGTCTTACCACTCACACGGTTTGTCTACACAAAGAACTTAGTACACAGTAAACTGTAATGTGGATGACAGTGCACTAACTCCCCTTGCTGCTCCCTAAAGGTTTGTCTAAACTGTGACTCTTGGGAAAGTTCATTTGAATTAAATGAATTCACTTAAAAGTGAAATAAATTACATTGAATAAAGACCACTTTAATTCTGAATAAATCTTCACGGGGGTATTATGCAGTGTAGCTAATCTAGTTAAAAGTTGCACTTCTAGGTAATTTGGATTAACTTTCCTGAGTGTGTCCTTGTAGCCATAGCCAAAGCCAAAATTGGCAGTTTGACAGCCATATGCTTACTGAAGTATATTATATGACACAGTTACATTCCTCTAACATATTTTATTTAGAACCACCATTGATAACATTTTAGCCAGTTGGTCAATACTTTTATTAATGTAGTTCAGAGTTGCAATATTTTGCTAGTGTATGTATTTTCCACCTAACAATTCCTCTTCGAGTGGTTTGATATGGGCTTTCAGTTGAGGGTTTATTTTGTTCTAATTCCACTCAGTTAGATTTATGTCCTGGAATATTAACAGGAACAATCTTTCTGCTACTAGTCTCACTGCAGCTTTTTGTTACAGTTTCATAGATTTCAACTAAATTAGAGGGGAGCAGAGTCTTGATGCAGTTATTACCTTGTTCTTCTATGGAAATAGTGGCCAGTGAATACTATATGAAGGTACCTAATTGAGGGATCTCTTCTGAAAAACAAGCCATTGATTTAGATGGCTATGTTTGGAAGTCTGAATTTAAGCACAAGTCTTGGAAAACCTTGGTCTAAATAATTACTGATCTTCCAGGGCACAAATTTTGAAAAACCAAAGATATTTTAAATATTCTTTCAAGGACAAAATGGATTGTTTTTAGTTGCACAGGGTTTAGTCTACATCTGCTAGTAAAGCCAATAGAACTTGTACAGTGAAAGCATGACTCATTGACAGTGTAGGGTATTATATACTGAAGACTGTTTCTGTAGCACTTCATGCACAGGACAAGTGCAGAATTGATCTGCCATGTCATTTGGACGTTTCTTTTTTTCTGTAGATTTTTAAATGGGGCTGATAACTTTCAGTAGAGTTGTGATTCAGTCCACTCCAAGCAATCCACTGGCCCAAAAGGGCGCCATGCTAGTGGAGTTGGGCGGAGGGCCTTCAAAGGAAGAAATCAGACTGAGAGGAAAGGGGCATAAAAGCCCTTCCCTAAGAAACATTTCTGCTTTCTCTGGCAGCAGCCTGGCACCCCAGTTCCTATACCAAGTTTTTGCTTTATTTTTCAAAAGCTCCAATGCCATATTCTACTACATCTGTACTGTACAGTAACCCTTCTGTGGCTGTGATTCAAATTTAAAGAGAGAAAACTGTGATGTGCTCTCTTCCTGGAGATTCTCAGTTAATGAACCTTTTAATGATGTTGGTGATCATTGCATAGGAGCAGTGAATGATATAGCTTATTTAAAATGAGTAAGCAACTCAAGCCTTTGGATAAAAACTTCCAGTCATTGCTGACCTGAGCTGTTTTGAGTGAGCATCCTAAAAGGGATAAAGGGCCATAACATCTTGTCCCCTTTGTTACATTTCTGTTGTGTTTCCCACAGAATGCTTCTCTTTGTTGTTGTAAGTTGTTATGATATAAATTGTCATTCAGTATAAAAAAAGTACAAGTTACTGCCTGCTACTAAAATGATGCTTCATTATATTGTGTTAATTGCAGTTTCAAATGCATCACAGTTTGCAGGAATTATTCACTGGATCAGCCTAGTCATCCTGTCCGTGTTCTTTTCAGAGGTATGTATAATGCAAAGGTTTGAACAACAACATGAAACAATTTATTTGGATATATGGTTCAGCACTGCTTCCATTGAAGTCAATGAGAGTTTTGATACTGACTACAAATCAATATTTGCTATAAAGTTCTCATTTCTACTGACACTGCCTGTCTTCACTGGAGTTAAGTAGAACTGACCACAAGAATGAGAGAACGTTACCCTACAAAACAAAATAGGAAAGTTGTGAAAAAGAATAATTATATCTTTATCATCTCGAATGAAGAACAGAACTAGTTCTGAACTCCTTACTTGAGAAAGACTCTTATTGGGCTCAGTGGGCACTTTGCTGAATGGATAAGAATCTAATCATGTACTTTTACAGTTTACTTAGGTAGTTCTCTGATTTTCCTAGGTAGTTTCCTTTCATCTGTACTGTTGCTATGTAGAAAAGGTAATTACATGTAGTAAAATACTTAGTTAGAAAATGAACACATGGTGAATTTATATGCAAGTGTATATTCATACCCTAATTAAATATGTTAATTGGGAAAGCTTATATTCATAATGCAGCAAAATGGCCAAATTGAAATAATTTGTTCCAGTATGCACATTTATTCCAAAAATCCAATGTGTGTTGAAATACCATATTTAGAACATATCTGAAGTGGTTCCTAGAAGTCCATTTAGATTATTTTTCCAGTCTATATTTTGAAGTGTGTTACAAAAACAACTTTTTTACATGATTGCACATTTCAAATTCCTCCAACATCCATGCCAGAAGATGCCCAGAGTATCTACAGATCTGAAGAAAATGTTTTTAATTTGACTAAAGGAAAGAATTTTCATACAAAAACAACAGTTAAGAGTTTGCACTCAATAGCTGAAATTAACTCAAGGTTATCAGCATTCTTTTCTTGAAAATAGGATTACTAATGAAGCAGGAGCTTTGATAACTGAAAGTGCTCTTGTTAAATATATAGTTCATGATATCACACCGGCATTTTTTCTCTGAGGTTGTAGTACTAGAATGAAAACTAAGATTAAAATCCTAATACAGGGTATGTCTACATGTTCATTAATGTGCTTTTCCTAATGCTCAGTAAATTTAGTACCTCCAATGTGAGGCTGCCCTAATGCACAGTGAATGTACATTAGGCTGCCCTAATGTGCAGTAGTGGAAGTGTACGCTTTTTTAGTGGCTCTTAATGCACAGTAGCCTATTTTTACTGCACATTATTGTATTAGCACAGTTTTATGTGATACTTTAATGTGCAGGAAAATAGGCTACTGCCCGTTAAAGCCCACATGTAGTTGTGCCCACAGGGTCTGAAATTTCTGTTTACCCAACAGCCAAATCCTGATTGCTAACCTTTTCTACTAATTAGGATACAGAAATAAAGCATAAATTATTTCTGAATATGATGGGAAGGCTGGGTCAGATTCCATTGCACCTTTTAATTAACCTCTGTCAGTGGCCTTGGAGACCTTCAGGTAGACTGGAACAGTAGAGCTTACATATGTGTCAGTGCTAGAAGCAGGATCAGCCTCGCGTCCAAAACATTCAGGATTCCATCTCTCTGCTTGCACGGGGCATCATATTTCTTATCTGAGTGTCCCAATGCCTCAGTTCTCTATTTCATGTTTTAGCTATACTGTTTGCTCATGTTCTGCCTCCTTTGGTTGCCATTGACTAAAAATTAACATATGGTTGTTCGTTTCCTATTGTATTGCCAACAAAACTTCATTTATTTCTTGGTGATTCATGTACGGACATGCCAGCAGAACCAATACTAGTCTCTTATTCTCCTTGAAGAAGTTTGCCTCTTCAGTCTTAGGAGATCACAGTGTAGTAGAGAGTAGATAAAGTTTGTCATACAGGCTTTTCTTAAAACAGTACAGATATTCTGCACATTTGTTCCAATTGTCCTCCTTCAACATTGAAGCATTTTCCCTTGGGCAGAGATGTCCAGAAATTTGTGCACACATTCTTTCAGGGAATTGCCATTTCTATTTTGTATTCATGCTCCCTTTCCATATCACAGTCTTGGAGAGAGTGTGAAACTTCATCTTAACAACTTGATGGTAGAATCTGTCATTGGATGTAGCCAAAATAAAGGTGAGCAGTCAATATATGCAGTGAAATGCTGTCCAAACGATATGCAGGGTTGTTGCTTGTAGCCATGTTGGTCTAAGGACATAGACAGGCAAGAGTCTTTGGGTAGATGTGATATATTTTATTAGACTAACTAAATATTTGGAAAAAAGTTCTTTGCAAGCTTTTCAGACACAAAAACCCTTCTTCAAGCAATGGGAGACTGCTGATGTTTTGAGTTCCCCAAGGCAGAAAAGAAGCTATACTAAACAATTAGTCTGTAAAGATGTGAATGAGTGGAAATTTGGAAGACAATGGGTAGAGATAGGGGGAGGGGAGGGAAAAGTGTGAAGGAATGCAAGGGGTCAGCTCGCTGTGCATTCACTCTGGGGTGCAATTGTTGTTTGGTTTCTCCTACATATTTTCCATCAGGGCATTTGGTGCACTGGATGAGATATATTACTTTTCTGGAGGTGCAGGTGTGAGATCCAGGAATGGTGATGGTTCTGTTGTGGGTAGAATTATTGTGGGACTGGTAGAGATGTGTTGGAAGGTTTTACATTTCTTGTCTTGCCATGGTTTGGATCCATTTGGTGTAGTTTGGGTCATAGGATGTTTGCTTTTGGTGATGAGGTTAGCAAGGTTCACCAACATTTCCTTTTTAAACACCATGATCAATATCCAAAATGGTAAAATACAAACCACCATATACAAGAAACATACAGACCAACATACATACATCTACTCAAAACCAGCAATCTTCTAGACACACCAAAAAACCTGTAATTTATAGCCAAGCGCTCTGGTATGTATAACCAGGATGAAAGCACATTGAAAATTCATCAAAGACAAAAATATCCAATTACTTGTAGTGCACACTTCTCACAAGACAGTCACTCCTTCTCCAGTCTCTCAGTTCTGATTCTTAAAGGGTACTTACAAAACAGCTTTTGTAGGCAAGCCTACAAACTTCACAAATCTACTGGATACAAAAAATCATGGACTTAATCTTGGATTTATGACACATTACAGCACACCAGGTAACCTGCCTGTTAGCTGACCCCATGCATTCCTTCACACTTTTCCCACTCTTCCCCTCCCCTCCCTTTCCCCCCATCTCTACCCTTTGCTTTCCAAACATCCACTCATTCACATCTTCACAGACTGCTTCTTTACTTCAGCTTCTTTTCTACTGTGGAGAACTCAAAATATCTCCACTCTCCCAGTGCCTGAAGAAGGGTGTTTGTGCCCGAAAATACATTTTTCCAGCTAGTTAGTTGGTCTAATAAAGATATCACATCTACCTAAACAACCTTGCCTGCCTATGTCCAAAAAGATATATCTTGCTTCCTATTAACACACATAATTGTAAAAAAAACCTCCTTGAAACTGTGCTGTTGAGGTTGGGAGGGTAACCTGTTCTTCCTCATTGACTGGAAAGTCAAATCACAGCCCTCTTTGTTTCCCTCAGTTTCCCCATTTCTGGATGAAGCCTCTGTAATAGGAGAATGATAGAAAACCAGCAACTCACTTTTGTCAGGAAGTGAGTGGGGAAGTCTGCCTCAACCTGTGAGAAAAAGCAATTCTAGAAGCAGGGAGGCAGCTCCCCAGGTGTACCAAAGCTCATCTGACCAGCTCCAGCTGCCTGGAGAGGTTGTCCTGGCAGCAGGGAAGCTGAGCGAGGCTGGAAATAAAAGCCAGCAGGCTGAACACTGCTAGGGAGGGGGAGAGAAAGTGTGGAAGCTGCTGGACAAGTGTCATGCCAGAGTTCTCTCTCCCAGGGTCTGTAGTGAGAAGACTACACATATAGTTTGTGGATTAAAAGGGTCCAGACAGAAAGAGGAGGCAGCGAAGCAGAACCCTGAAGCCCGGGATGGAGCACACTCTCCTGGGGTCTGAGAACTGAAGGGAAACCAGAGGTTGGTTCCACCTTCATTTGTTTATTTGAGGAGGAGATGTGTTTGTTGACCTGAAGATGGAAGGTTTGTTTATGTTCTCCGGAGACAAAACCCGGGGATATAATAAACAGACTGTTTTGAGGGACTCAACAACCCTTTGAGGATGGCTGTATTGGCCTGTTTATTTACTTTTGTTCTTATCTCCTGTTCCATTATTGGAGTTAAACCAAGAAAAAGGGGGAAAGAGAGGCAAGGACTTAATTTATCCACATGAGTCAAGGGAGCAGGGTGGAGGGGTGGAGGAGCCCTGCAGAAGAACCCTGTCAGCAAACCCATGACAGAGACCTGGTTACAGCCGCCTAGACAAAACTAGATGTAGCCTCCTAGTTCCTAAAATTACAAATTGTGGCATGCAAAGATTAATAGGAGACTATGAGCTATGGGTGTCTGGTGTTCAGTGGATGCTGGCACAGGTATACTAGAATCACCTGCAGACAGTCTCAATTCCAGCTCCATTCAGCTCTGCATTCTCTGAAGCCAAAGGCAATGTTCAGTATCCAATATCTAAGATAATTCCCTGTGTTCACATGGTTGTTTTGGTTTTTTGGTTTGTTTTGGGGGGGTTTTGGGGGGGGGGGGGGGTA